ATAATACCCTGTGGTTCGCCCACAGCAATTAGTTATAGTTAGTGATAATTACCTTTCCCTGTGGTTCGCCCGCAGCATCCTCCGATCCTATCTGTGGTTCGCCCACAGCACTTAGCCCTAGCTAGCGATAATTCCCTGTGGTTCGCCCACAGCATTTAGCTTTACTTAGCGTTAATTCCCTGTGGTTCGCCCACGGCATTTAGTTATACTTAGCGTTAAATACCTGTGGTTCGCCCACGGAAATTAGCTGTAGTTAGCGATAATTCCCTGTGGTTCGCCCACAGCTCTTAGCAATAATATCCTATCCTTAACTGTGGTCCGCCCACAGCACTCCCCGATCCTTAACTGTGGTTCGCCCACAGCATGTGTAAATAGGTTAACAATACGTTTGTGTTTTATATTTAACTATATTTCAGGGTCTACAGTTTTAGTAGTGACGAATACGTGTGTCTTGGAAAACGGTATTTTAGGAGTTGTGGTGTAGATGATATTAATACGTTGGTGTCTTAAATAACGGTATTTAAGGTGTTGTAGTGTAGATGTTACTAATACGTGTGTGTCTTGTATAACGGTATTTTAGGTGGTTGTAGTTTTAGCGGTTACTAGTGCGTGCGTGTCTTATATAACTGTGTGGTCGGTGGTGTAGGTTTAGTGCTTACTAATACTTGCGTGTTTTTATTTAACTGTTTTGTAGGTGTTGGTTAGTAATACTTGCGTGTTTTTATTTAACTGTATTGTATGTGTTGGTGTGATATAATCATATTTTGCAGCTTAGCTTCTTCCCGTTCCCCAAGATCGACGTATCCGTCCTATCTGTGGTTCGCCCACAGCGATCCGTCCTAACTGTGGTTCGCCCACAGCAATCCGTCCCTAACTGTGGTTCGCCCACAGCACTCCGTCCCGAACTGTGGTTCGCCCGCAGCGCACCTTTCTTTCAATATAGAGAACAAATATGGCAATGATGATAACGTGGGTTCGATTTTTGGAGATTTTATATCTCATACCCTGTGTCTGAGCCATCCGTTCTCTTTTCAGGTTATTAGTCCGCCCTTAAACTGTCGATTCGTTAGACATTTCGACCCCTGGAACCGCAACCCAGCGCGACTAGCTATCCGGCAACCGGGTCAAAACCGGACTCGCGTATTTTCCGAACGCCTCACCCGGAAATACGTCGTATTGTTTTTAAAATTATTACTCTTTAAACAGTACTAAATGTTCAACTAAAAGATGAATTAGATAGCGTAAGCCTTGAAAGTAACCGTCGATTTCAACGAGTTTCACCTAGTATTATTATATTACTCATTCGCAAATTACTACTTCTAAAGATGATGCATTATTCGTCATCAGTGCATTTGGCTTAGCCATACATTAACCACGGCGAAAACAGGTGTGTGAGAAGTGACCTCGCCGTATCCAGAATCAATGTTAACACTACACCATCATTACCGTACCCTCTAAATAACCTTGTCTCTGTGCGTGAAATTATGTATGTGTTTATATCGTCAAACGCACTATTTATTAGACACCTTGGTTCATGGGATAAATTATTAAAAAATAAAATATGGATTAGAAACATGAGGAGGATCTTACATTTAGATCATAAAACCAATACCAGCATTGGAAAAATCCTTTACAAGGATAATGCAGAGTAGAATTAGAACAGAACATAGTGCATACCCATTTTCATATTTCAAAATATTTTGCTAATTGGAAATTTTAATTTAAAGGGTAAAAGTTGTTTTCATACAAATAAAGTCATGCTCCTATTATTTTACAAATTGTATGTAAACGTGTTTTCGCCTCACCACACAGTGAGCGTCTCTGTCTCTATTCTATACTCTTTTTAGATCAGAATATCATTGTTCACAGAAAAGGGTCGGTAAAGTCAGCTGGAGTACGGTACATTCATTTACTTGTCATTTATGTAACAAATAGGCTTTAAACAATATTCACTGTTGAAGCTGTCAAACCACTGATTATCTTTGTAAATTGGTGTGCCATTGGTAAATAATTAAAGCTACCTCTCTGGCCGGTCGCGCGTAATAGACTCGCCAAAAATCACTTCGATATTGACGACTGTCAGTGTGTAAAGTGTCTATTAGTTATTAATTAATAATAGTATAATATTAATATTTATAGCAATTAATTAAAAATCAATTGACCACAGAAAAACAACTACGATAGCGTATATTGTGAAGTTACACTAACACCTTTGACATGTAACAATTAAACACTTGTCACACTTGTGTTTATATCGATGAGTGACAAACATCGATATATAAACAAACATCGATGGTTACACATGAAGTAGTAGAGAAAAGTACGGTGAAGACACTTAAGCTTATAAGCCAATCGCCGTTCTCCGATAGAGTAACGACTCTCGGCTTTTTAAAAATTGATACTAGAAATTACAAAAAATGGGTGCATCTACAGTGGGCAGTTTGGGAAGTCATGTATTAGCATTGACTATATAACACTACAAGTTGTAGTGTTATAACACTACAAACATAACAAGTTGTAGTGTTAACCCAAAAATTGTTGCGAGAGTCAACGGATTTGGAAGTTTCTTAAATAACTAACGGCTTTAAATCGTATAAGCGAACAGCATTTTGTATGAACAGATTGTGTTGGTGTTTTTTTTTTTCGCTTAGAGATGAGTTTTTTGCTTTATTTAATTTAAATGATATATAAATAAACACACATTGGTGGATTACTAAGTCGATTTCAACGATACCTAGCGGTGACTTGGTGTACTGTTGCGAATGGTTTGACACCTAGCGGTAAATAAGTGTACTTCTGTTGCATATCTTGATGTGGTGTCGTATTGAAACAATTTACACATTGTTTCCTTTCCTTCCAATGGTGATTGGTGAACCACATTACAATAAATATTACAAGATGACGTATCCTTTATTACTCTTATGTAAGCAATGTTTGCTTGTATAAGCTTAAAGAAAGTTAGCTTATACAAGCATTAAGCATAAGACTTGCTTCAGGGGTGGCTCTAAGCTAACGGAAGAAAGTATGTGTCAGATTGGCAGATTCAGATTGCTGATACCATTTATTTTTCTCTTTATGGGTAAAATCTATACCCCTTAACTCTTGACTACTTTACCATAGGCCTACCCACCCTTATATACTTTATTTTACTTGTTTACTTAACGTAAAGTAATTTTACTGAAGATGTAAAACGACCATTCCACTAATAAATTATTAATACAAATCAAATGCAGTGCTACTAAAGGTCTTTTAGTTGTATCATAAGTTTAAGTTACAGCATCTACTTATTTCAACTGCTCCCGTTGACTTGTATTTTACATTTCTATAAAAATAATTGTTGGTTCAGTATCAAATAAAAACTATATGTGATGTTTAGGGTGGTTAACTATGGTGTCTTTAAAATATAAATTGGGTTACCAGAAGCAAACTGCCCAGCTATTTGATGAAAATCCAACTCATTTAAAGTCAAATTAAACTAACAAGTAACAAATAGTTTGCTACTAGATTTTTAAAGCAAAATTGTCCATTTAAATTTGGTTTAAAGTTTGATTCAAAAGCTTAAATTCCAATAAATGTGCAGCGTAATTTAAAGAAGTGTTGGGGGCACAACCCCCCCCCCAACATTATAACTATGGGTTAGCCCCAGACCTCTCGGCATGAGTCAATACAACGAATTTGGTGGTATTCTGTGACGTGAGCTTTGGGAGGATGGGCACCTCTGCAACCACCGCGCCGTGCGCCTTTAAAAGCGCTGTTAGTGGGGCGGATGGGTTTTTTTTAGCTTCGACAATCTGATAATTTTACAATAAAACAGCAATTGTGTCAATTTTAAATACCTAGAAGTGAGATTGGTGGACGATTCACATGCATACGCACTGGTTTTAAGTACCTTTTACCTTCGATGTCTTCACCACAATCCGTAGATCGGGGAATCGTCATAGTTCTTCCGTCTGGACGGGATTTCACTGTACCTTTGCTAGATACCACTTTCCATTGCATACTATCACTTAACTTACACCGTAGGCCCACTTATTTTACCTTCGTGGCCATTGAAACCTTAAGAGGATTCTGGCCTCACATTCTCTATATCCTGTGCTTCTTCTAATGTAGATCCCAGTCTGGAAATATCTTGTAAATCGGAGGATCGTCATGGTTCTTCCGTATGGACGGGGTTTTTTGCTATATTTTTACGAAGTGAGCTGGCGTATATGTGTGTATCTTTTTGTATCTCTGTTCTTCCATATCCTTCAACTTTGGGTATTAAAAACAAACTTTTTTGAATTTTAACCGTAACCAACTGTACACTAACATGGTACAATAAAAAATATTTGTTTTTTAAGTTCTTCTAATGAGAAAACCCTATATTTTTACTCCATAAAACCCCCCACAATACTCAGTACCATGGTCCACATGCTGGTTCGTGAATAAGTTTTACTTAGTTTTACATGTTTGTAGCATATTTCATGAGAATCTTATGATTTTTTGGTCGAGTTATTCATACCAATGGACAAAAACACATGCTTATATATATATATATATATATATATATATATATATATAAAGATTAAACATTTATAAACTTAGTACCCAAGTAAAATTATTTATTAAAATATTTACTGACAAAATTTTAATATTTTAATATTATAGTCAGTAAATATTATAATAAATAATTTTACTTGGGTACTAAGTTTATTAATGTTTAATCTTTATTTATATATAGTAGCCCTATTTTTCTATTTTTCATATATATATATATATAAGGGAAATTCGCTAAAAATATTAAAATAATGATAAAAAAAACTGCAAAAGTACTCTTATCGATTGTAAAATACATTCTCTGCTCTTTGCTTAGCGCCGACATTCAATAAAGATTTATTATATATATTTTGAGAAAATATGTTGCTCAAAGACGATTTTCAACTTGTCTCCTTGTCTGTTTATATTGCAAACGCCACAAGAACAGACCGTTCCCTAGTTCAAAAACAAACAGCTAACTAACTAACAACAGCTAAGAAAACAAACTGAACTATTTGTGTAGTATTTTGACATTTTGTGAAATAAGAATAGATTAGTTTATTTCTATTTAGCACAATGTTTTTATTTTTGACTTCATTTGTTCTCAAGGTTTTATGATAATTTGGCTTCCTTTAATATCTGGTGAGCTTGTATTTTCTTTCCTCATTCGTAGTTATTTTGAAGTGGAAGAATTAGGTTATGTGGCCCAAATTTAGGTTTTAATAAATTTATGTATTTAAATGAATTAATTTCGCCTACATTATGATTGAATATGCTTACCAATATTTTCAGGTCATGTATTTAAATTTTTAAATCATAAATGCCTTTTTGTAAGCAATATTAGGCCTAATTATAAAACCTTGTAAGCAGGCTAACCTCGCATTTCCAGTAGAACCAATCTTCTTTTATAAAATGTTTAACTACAAATGTTAGCCTCTGTATTTAAATTATATTTTTCCGTATCCTTCAGTTTAATTTGTTTCTAAGAAATACACAGTGTAGGCTTATCATAGTAAATGTGTCAATACGGTAAAATAATGATGCTATCACGCAAAAAGTTAGGCCAAGAACCTATCTAACCCTGTTACGCCTATTTATGAGGAATCACACATATGGAGAAGTTAAGCTATATGTACATGAATCCTTGTGATTTATAAACAGTGGTATAAGCACTATATGGTACTATAGTCTCAATAACTTGCCCGTTTGCAGTTCTAAACTTTTGAATTGGTATATGAGTATATATTGGTGTGAACCTGGCAATAACTCCAGCCATAAGTAGTGCGCGCGGCCAACAAAATTTATTGCTGGCCGTTTTGCGGCAAAATACGTCCGCGAGCAATATTACCGATGATGCCAACAGATAGAGGACACTTTAACGGACACGACAGTATCAATATCATGTACCTGGGGGATAAGTTAAGGGGGGTAAAACCAGCAATAAGTTGTGCGCGCGCCCGAAAAAATCTATTGCTGGCCGTATTGCGGAGAAATACGTCCGCGAGCAATATTACCGATGATGCCAACAGATAGAGGACACTTTAACGGACACGACAGTATCAACATCATGTACCTGGAGGATAAAAAAAGGGGGGTAAAACCAGCAATAAGTAGTGCGCGCTCCCGATAAAATCTATTGCCGGCCGTATTGCGGAAAAATACGTCCGCGAGCAATATTACCGATGATGCCAACAGATAGAGGACACTTTAACGGACACGACAGTATCAACATCATGTACCTGGGGGATAAGTTTAGGGGGGTATAACCAGCAATAAGTAGTGCGCGCGCCGGATAAAATCTATTGCAGGCCGTATTGCGGAAAAATACGTCCGCGAGCAATATTACCGATGATGCCAACAGATAGAGGACACTTTAACGGACACGACAGTATCAATATCATGTACCTGGGGGATAAAATAAAGGGGTTAAAACCAGCAATAAGTAGTGCGCGCGCCGGATAAAATCTATTGCTGGCCGTATTGCGGAGAAATACGTCCGCGAGCAATATTACCGATGATGCCAACAGATAGAGGACACTTGAACGGACACAACAGTATCAACATCATGTACCTGGAGGATAAAATAAGGGGGGTATAACCAGCAATAAGTAGTGCGCGCGCCCGATGAAATCTATTGCTGGCCGTATTGCGGAAAAATACGTCCGCGAGCAATATTACCGATGATGCCAACAGATAGAGGACACTTTAACGGACACGACAGTATCAACATCATGTACCTGGGGGATAAGTTTAGGGGGGTATAACCAGCAATAAGTAGTGCGCGCGCCGGATAAAATCTATTGCAGGCCGTATTGCGGAAAAATACGTCCGCGAGCAATATTACCGATGATGCCAACAGATAGAGGACACTTTAACGGACACGACAGTATCAATATCATGTACCTGGGGGATAAAATAAAGGGGTTAAAACCAGCAATAAGTAGTGCGCGCGCCGGATAAAATCTATTGTTGGCCGTATTGCGGAGAAATACGTCCGCGAGCAATATTACCGATGATGCCAACAGATAGAGGACACTTTTACGGACACGACAGTATCAATATCATGTACCTGGAGGATAAAATAAGGGGGGTAAAACCAGCAATAAGTAGTGCTCGCGGCCAACAAAATTTACCTGGTTTTACCCCCCTTTTTTTATCCTCCAGGTACATGATGTTGATACTGTCGTGTCCGTTAAAGTGTCCTCTATCTGTTGGCATCATCGGTAATATTGCTCGCGGACGTATTTTTCCGCAATACGGCCAGCAATAAATTTCATCCGGCGCGCGCACTACTTATTGCTGGTTATACCCCCCTAAACTTATCCCCCAGGTACATGATGTTGATACTGTCGTGTCCGTTAAAGTGTCCTCTATCTGTTGGCATCATCGGTAATATTGCTCGCGGACGTATTTTTCCGCAATACGGCCAGCAATAGATTTTATCCGGCGCGCGCACTACTTATTGCTGGTTATACCCCCCTAAACTTATCCCCCAGGTACATGATGTTGATACTGTCGTGTCCGTTAAAGTGTCCTCTATCTGTTGACATCATCGGTAATATTGCTCGCGGACGTATTTTTCCGCAATACGGCCAGCAATAGATTTTATCCGGCGCGCGCACTACTTATTGCTGGTTATACCCCCCTAAACTTATCCCCCAGGTACATGATGTTGATACTGTCGTGTCCGTTAAAGTGTCCTCTATCTGTTGGCATCATCGGTAATATTGCTCGCTGACGTATTTTTCCGCAATACGGCCAGCAATAGATTTCATCCGGCGCGCGCACTACTTATTGCTGGTTATACCCCCCTAAACTTATCCCCCAGGTACATGATGTTGATACTGTCGTGTCCGTTAAAGTGTCCTCTATCTGTTGGCATCATCGGTAATATTGCTCGCGGACGTATTTTTCCGCAATACGGCCATCAATAGATTTCATCCGGCGCGCGCACTACTTATTGCTGGTTATACCCCCCTAAACTTATCCCCCAGGTACATGATGTTGATACTGTCGTGTCCGTTAAAGTGTCCTCTATCTGTTGGCATCATCGGTAATATTGCTCGCGGACGTATTTTTCCACAATACGGCCAGCAATAGATTTTATCCGGCGCGCGCACTACTTATTGCTGGTTATACCCCCCTAAACTTATCCCCCAGGTACATGATGTTGATACTGTCGTGTCCGTTAAAGTGTCCTCTATCTGTTGGCATCATCGGTAATATTGCTCGCGGACGTATTTTTCCGCAATACGGCCGGCAATAGATTTTATCGGGCGCGCGCACTACTTATTGCTGGTTTTACCCCCCTTTTTTTATCCTCCAGGTACATGATGTTGATACTGTCGTGTCCGTTAAAGTGTCCTCTATCTGTTGGCATCATCGGTAATATTGCTCGCGGACGTATTTTTCCGCAATACGGCCAGCAATAGATTTTATCCGGCGCGCGCACTACTTATTGCTGGTTTTAACCCCTTTATTTTATCCCCCAGGTACATGATATTGATACTGTCGTGTCCGTTAAAGTGTCCTCTATCTGTTGGCATCATCGGTAATATTGCTCGCGGACGTATTTTTCCGCAATACGGCCGGCAATAGATTTTATCGGGCGCGCGCACTACTTATTGCTGGTTTTACCCCCCTTTTTTTATCCTCCAGGTACATGATGTTGATACTGTCGTGTCCGTTAAAGTGTCCTCTATCTGTTGGCATCATCGGTAATATTGCTCGCGGACGTATTTTTCCGCAATACGGCCAGCAATAGATTTTATCCGGCGCGCGCACTACTTATTGCTGGTTTTAACCCCTTTATTTTATCCCCCAGGTACATGATATTGATACTGTCGTGTCCGTTAAAGTGTCCTCTATCTGTTGGCATCATCGGTAATATTGCTCGCGGACGTATTTTTCCGCAATACGGCCGGCAATAGATATTATCGGGCGCGCGCACTACTTATTGCTGGTTTTACCCCCCTTTTTTTATCCTCCAGGTACATGATGTTGATACTGTCGTGTCCGTTAAAGTGTCCTCTATCTGTTGGCATCATCGGTAATATTGCTCGCGGACGTATTTTTCCGTAATACGGCCAGCAATAGATTTTATCCGGCGCGCGCACTACTTATTGCTGGTTATACCCCCCTAAACTTATCCCCCAGGTACATGATGTTGATACTGTCGTGTCCGTTAAAGTGTCCTCTATCTGTTGGCATCATCGGTAATATTGCTCGCGGACGTATTTTTCCGCAATACGGCCAGCAATAGATTTTATCCGGCGCGCGCACTACTTATTGCTGGTTATACCCCCCTAAACTTATCCCCCAGGTACATGATGTTGATACTGTCGTGTCCGTTAAAGTGTCCTCTATCTGTTGACATCATCGGTAATATTGCTCGCGGACGTATTTTTCCGCAATACGGCCAGCAATAGATTTTATCCGGCGCGCGCACTACTTATTGCTGGTTATACCCCCCTAAACTTATCCCCCAGGTACATGATGTTGATACTGTCGTGTCCGTTAAAGTGTCCTCTATCTGTTGGCATCATCGGTAATATTGCTCGCTGACGTATTTTTCCGCAATACGGCCAGCAATAGATTTCATCCGGCGCGCGCACTACTTATTGCTGGTTATACCCCCCTAAACTTATCCCCCAGGTACATGATGTTGATACTGTCGTGTCCGTTAAAGTGTCCTCTATCTGTTGGCATCATCGGTAATATTGCTCGCGGACGTATTTTTCCGCAATACGGCCATCAATAGATTTCATCCGGCGCGCGCACTACTTATTGCTGGTTATACCCCCCTAAACTTATCCCCCAGGTACATGATGTTGATACTGTCGTGTCCGTTAAAGTGTCCTCTATCTGTTGGCATCATCGGTAATATTGCTCGCGGACGTATTTTTCCACAATACGGCCAGCAATAGATTTTATCCGGCGCGCGCACTACTTATTGCTGGTTATACCCCCCTAAACTTATCCCCCAGGTACATGATGTTGATACTGTCGTGTCCGTTAAAGTGTCCTCTATCTGTTGGCATCATCGGTAATATTGCTCGCGGACGTATTTTTCCGCAATACGGCCAGCAATAGATTTTATCCGGCGCGCGCACTACTTATTGCTGGTTATACCCCCCTAAACGTATCCCCCAGGTACATGATGTTGATACTGTCGTGTCCGTTAAAGTGTCCTCTATCTGTTGGCATCATCGGTAATATTGCTCGCGGACGTATTTTTCCGCAATACGGCCGGCAATAGATTTTATCGGGCGCGCGCACTACTTATTGCTGGTTTTACCCCCCTTTTTTTATCCTCCAGGTACATGATGTTGATACTGTCGTGTCCGTTAAAGTGTCCTCTATCTGTTGGCATCATCGGTAATATTGCTCGCGGACGTATTTTTCCGCAATACGGCCAGCAATAGATTTTATCCGGCGCGCGCACTACTTATTGCTGGTTTTAACCCCTTTATTTTATCCCCCAGGTACATGATATTGATACTGTCGTGTCCGTTAAAGTGTCCTCTATCTGTTGGCATCATCGGTAATATTGCTCGCGGACGTATTTTTCCGCAATACGGCCGGCAATAGATATTATCGGGCGCGCGCACTACTTATTGCTGGTTTTACCCCCCTTTTTTTATCCTCCAGGTACATGATGTTGATACTGTCGTGTCCGTTAAAGTGTCCTCTATCTGTTGGCATCATCGGTAATATTGCTCGCGGACGTATTTTTCCGTAATACGGCCAGCAATAGATTTTATCCGGCGCGCGCACTACTTATTGCTGGTTATACCCCCCTAAACTTATCCCCCAGGTACATGATGTTGATACTGTCGTGTCCGTTAAAGTGTCCTCTATCTGTTGGCATCATCGGTAATATTGCTCGCGGACGTATTTTTCCGCAATACGGCCAGCAATAGATTTTATCCGGCGCGCGCACTACTTATTGCTGGTTATACCCCCCTAAACTTATCCCCCAGGTACATGATGTTGATACTGTCGTGTCCGTTAAAGTGTCCTCTATCTGTTGGCATCATCGGTAATATTGCTCGCGGACGTATTTTTCCGCAATACGGCCAGCAATAGATTTTATCCGGCGCGCGCACTACTTATTGCTGGTTTTAACCCCTTTATTTTATCCCCCAGGTACATGATATTGATACTGTCGTGTCCGTTAAAGTGTCCTCTATCTGTTGGCATTATCGGTAATATTGCTCGCGGACGTATTTTTCCGCAATACGGCCGGCAATAGATTTTATCGGGCGCGCGCACTACTTATTGTTGGTTTTACCCCCCTTTTTTTATCCTCCAGGTACATGATGTTGATACTGTCGTGTCCGTTAAAGTGTCCTCTATCTGTTGGCATCATCGGTAATATTGCTCGCGGACGTATTTTGCCGCAAAACGGCCAGCAATAAATTTTTTTGGCCGCGCGCACTACTTATGGCTGGAGTTATTGCCAGGTTCACACAAGTTGAGTATATTAAGTAATATTTAAGCTTTTATGCCATTATCTAACACCCTTCTTCAGGAACTATTCATCTGTTACTGCTTTGTCAATGACATACAAACACAAATACTTAACGCTACACAAACGATTACAAATGGGAAATGTTAAACTAGTTATAGGCCTATCAATTCATTGTAAGAGCTAACATACTGTGGCTACTAGTAGGAACAGATTGTTGGATTGAAGTCAGTACCCTATTGTAGTGTTCTAGGTACTTTGGTATTAAGTTTATACGGAGGCCACCCTTATACAGCATGCTGCGGCGGTTATGTTAGGTTTGGTTATCATAAATAGAAAGTATGACTAGTTTGGAATTGTTCGATTTATAATTAAAGAAACGAGAAAATTTCTACAAACATATTTATGATAACCCAACCTAACATAATTGCCGAAGCTCACTTAAATATCTGGCCTCCGTATGATACCAAAGTAGCGTGTCCTATTTTCTTCCTTATTAATGGGATGGTCAGGTGAAATGAGTTGCTTCGGTGAAGGAAAGCGCTAAAAGTAACCACACTTGAAGTAGAGTAGCCTATGTCCCTTTAGATTTAGAAAGTAACTTACAGGTATTTATATAGTAGGCCTAAAGTGTCAAAATAGATTTTTAAGAGCTAGGTTATGAAGACAGATTTTACATCATACTACACTGAAACAGGTAAGTTACTTTTCCATCCGTATTGGTAGGCTGGAAAGTTGCCTTGCCTACACACGGAAGAGTAACGTAATTTACTTTTACTGCGCACTGCAGAGTAAAAGCTTTTTACCGTACAATTAGTCAGCTGATAAAATAAACAGGTAATTGCAACGGCCTATTTTATTTTCTGAAATAAAAAAATATTTATGTTATGTCCTAAATAAATTGTTTGAGTTTAAAATGTACTAATATTTCTGTGTAGTATGATGTAAAGTATCGTACATTACTCGTCCGGTGAGCTATACCGTACTCGCACGAAAATCCCACACGAGGCGCATGCATGGTAAAACACCACTTACCTGGTTATTAACGTAAAATAGTAGGAAATAGGATGATTTTAGCTGTGTAGAAAAGAGGAGTGACAGCACAGCCTATTCCAGGAGTCAATGTAAAGTTAAAAGAGATGGAAGATTATAAGGGTACAGTTCCACAGAAAAATTGTGATATAGGTATTATTAGACGAATAACAATAAATATCAATATTTATCCGAAGCAATATATCGATCACAAAATATTGTTTATTTTTTTATTTTATTCATATTAATAAATAAATCTAACAATATTCAACCAAAAACTAATCTAAAAGGATAAAATAAAGAAACGGCTTTGATAATATTTTTATATAGGCCCTACCATATGGTATTAAATTCAATACGATATTAACGTAATATCAAACCAAATAAATATTGATATATTTATTATTATTTATTCGATAATATATACCAGGTTTTCTGCCGAATTGTACCTGATTGTAAAATTTGTCCAACAATTCATAATAAAAAATAAATAACTTCTTAATTGGCATGATACATGTTACATGGAAAGAGGATTGGTGAATGGTAAAGTTAGGATATAACGTTTTTTTATAAACACCCTGTAGGCTATACAGGGTGTCCCGTAACTCTCTGGACACATGTATATAGTGTTAATGCTTAGGTCAAGACAAACACATTTCACCATAGGAAAATGGGTCTGTGGTGCCTAGTTTACCGTCTGTCTGTATTTATGTGTTTTTTTACACATAATAACACATAATAACTCCTAAACGGTTTGAGATAACTTTTAGTGTTGAGAATTTTCAAAAATGTTAATCTTATCAGGACCTATTTCAGTTTAAAATTAAACAAAAAAATCAACAACCTTTTCAAAATGGCGACCATTTAAAATATTTGATGCCAAATTTAACAAAAACCGTTAATTTTACCAAATTATTTTAAGAGACAAAAAAGTTAGTAAAATATATGTAGTTTTCAATAATACCTTACTTGTTAAGAATGGATAAATAATAACAGAGAAATATATGATCTTTTTGTAATGCATGACCACTTTTCTCCATTTAAACAATGCCAATACTCCTTCTGAAACATTGTCTAAATATCTTTACAATCATCTGTAATACGTCAATCAGGAGTTTTAAAACATAACACATGATTGAATCATTTGTTTTAGCAAATTTCCCATATAGGGAATACGCTATTACCGTAGTACTCATTTTAAGACCTGAACCCGGGACCGATTTACTTTTTAGTTTTGAGGTCCCTAGAGGCCAAAAACACCATCCGTTCAAGTTCATATTTTATATATATATAGGCCTATGTGTCCGTTAGCACGATAACTCGAGCAAAAATGATCAGATTTTGATGAAAGTTGGTTTAAAGGTGTAAGGGGGGATAAACTTGAATGAGTTCGCAAACCAGCATGATCTGGCCATGGGAACTGAGTTTTATGGGGGAAAAAATGGTAAAAAACATTGGAAAAAATGATAAAACATTTTTGACCCTTAAAACACAAAATTTCCCAATTTTTCTTTAGACCTTTTTAAAGTGCTTTAAAAAACAAATAACTTAGTATATCAAAGTGTTTTTGTACAATTATTGGTAACGGAGAAAATTCAAAAAAATTGTGAATTTAAAATTTCCATATTATTTTGGAGAATATTGTAAAATGTTGTAGATTGCTTGTTTATGGATATATTTTTAAAAAAATTTGGCAAATTTATTGATTTTATACTAAGCTATAATTATTATACTTAAAACACACTTTACCGTATTAGTTTCCTTGTAAACCTAGGTACTCGTTATTTAAACCTAATGTTGTTTAAATAGATTAATTGAAAATCATTTCAGGCAAATGGAAATTCGCTTGGACGGCAGGTTTGCTGTTGCGGGGGTATTTTTACCCTCCCTGTTGCAGCAAACCTAAGTACTCGTTAAACTAATTCTATTTAAATGGGGAATAAATGTCATATTTTTATGGAGGCATTTTAGTTTAAATCCAATCAGGCAAATGGAAATTCGCTTAGTCTGCAGGTTTGGTGCGGCGGGGGTATTTGTTATTTATAAAAGTATTGTTGTCTGAACATTACTGCAAGTCTTTACTAGTTGCTTACGATTCTTACAACCTAGTTAAAGTAATTATTTATTGTGTTTTTACATTATTAAGTTGGCTGTTTGGTACTGAATATGACCAAAATGAATACTTACACATCAGAGGATACTTCAATCATCTGTTAAGACCCCCTAATGAGTTAGGGTATCTATAATAGCAATGTAAATTCAAGGAATTTTTGAACAGCTGTCATTTTTGGCTTGTTTGTACGTTTGAACTCGGGTTTGCGGCATTGTATGTTACTGTACTAAGAAAGACCTTTAATTTTATGTGCATGTGCATATCCACCTAATTTTAAGATTCTATTCTGACTCCTAGCAGGCCGTCCCCCTAAGGATGTACTGTATCACAATGCGTTAAAATATTTTTAGTTTTTGTATGTTTATTAGTGTGTAAACGCCAGTAGCATTTTCAATGAAGGAATCACAAATGCTTTGAAGGGAAAACAGTACTTTAAACCTTTCAAAATTTGTCAAAAAAAATGTACATATTAGTTATAAGTTTTAATTTAGAATTTGTTTGCTGTTTTTAGAAAGACTCACAGCCGGTAAAATGTAACTCAACCCAGTGAGACAGTGTTACAGAAGAGGAAGTATGTTTTGGTAGTAAAATTATGTCATAATGCTGAAAACTGGCCAGAAGAGGCCAACCACTCCAAATACATCCAAGCCTGAGACGGGAGGAACAAATATAACTAATGATCACTGGCAAAACAGTCTTCAAGTGGTTACAGTAGCCCCTATTGAAGATGGAACACTGAATTTCTCCATCGGTGGAGGATCAGATAGTGGGGAATTTGCCCATATAAGTGATATATCCCAAGGTAAAGTGAACTGTGTGAGTGGAGTGTTGAATGAAAACGACGTCTTACTTGATATTCAAGGACAAAAAGTTGCTGGGTATACCAGAAGAGATACTGTTGCGTGGTTGAATCACTGCTGTAGAAGTGGCAATCCGATAACATTGAAAACCATACCAGCAGGTAAGTTGGCCTGTATACAAATAATAACTATATATAGTTTACCGTAAAGGTAAGAATGTTATAACTTTTATAAAATGATGTCTATCTTGAAACACAAAAATTCTAGCTAAATTGCCAGGTATACTGTTGTTCTGAAAACTCCTGGCTCATTAATAGGCTATATTAAATTAGGTAGGCCCCCCTAACTGGAAATTAAAAGTACGGCCTTGATAAAAATTATCTTATGCAGAATTTGCCAAACCTTTATTAGAGGATTCTTTGCTCCCTCTCCAATTCCATTAATAATGAGTATTATTGTGACCCTGAAATGCAAAAAAATTATGATTACATACTCAAAACTGATGTCAGGATATGTTATCTCAGAGTTGATTTTGGCTTCAATTGGTGACATCACATCCAGGGCCGGAATTTTCATCCTTAGGTAGCATCCCTGTCCTTGTCCAACTTATAACTATTTTGCAGCCCCATGTGTTCTTATTCACACAGTAAATAGTTACATTCAATAGCTCTTTTAAAACCACTATTTGTATAAAAATATATTTACAACCCCTCCCACTGCCTTTATATAAAGTATTTTATTCTTCAGAAATTTTAATCATAAAAGTTTCCAAAATTTTCTTATAGCCTAGGCTAATATGTAACAAAAAATATTTTTCCTACAGTTACCTGACAAAGCGGGCTTTCTTGTACTGATTGTAGCACGCAAAGAAGTTAATTGCTGATTGCTGTATTTACTTACTTTTGCCACACTCTTTTTACTTTTGCTATACTCATTTTTTTGTCACACTCCAGTATTTCAGTCAAAAAAAAAAAAAACAGTGTGCTTTAGGCTTGTAATACGTGTACGCTTGAAAATAAGTTGGCAACACTTAAAGAAACTGCGACTACGATCAGCTGGTGCAGTGTTTCCCATTTCATTTAATGCTTGGAACCTAAAAAGTGTCGTTTAGTTTTTAAAAGACTGATTATTTCTATGCTTTATAGTTGTTTTTCCTATAGAATTTTATTTTTCCTACAGTTCTGTAAGAAAAATAAAATTTGTGTAACACGAGCGCAAATTGCCTTTGCTGCACTCGAGAAAACTTTGAGTAAACATTTCTCTCATGTGCAGCAAAGTTCCACTTCGCACACTAGTTACACAAATTACTATTGTATGGAAATAATAAAAACTATAACTAAAAAATTATTATTACAAAAGAGTACTAAGTTAACACTCCGCACAATATAGTTGACACAAACACGAAGCACCGAAAAAGATTGGTTGGCCGACCCGGAAACGAAGCTTGCCAAAAGTTGAAGTAACACTTGTACAAAACGTGGCAGTCGAACACAACGTTCCCCATGTGAGGCTTAGCTCACTTTGAAGCAAGGTTGTTGTTATGTGAGGCGGACGACATTTCCCGCCCTGTGCACTCAACGTGTTAACTGATTTTTCCTTTTAGAAAAGAGAGCTGTTCGGGTGAATCTATTGTCTATAGCTTAACAAAAGCTCTTTGTAATTATGTAGTCTTTGTATTCTCCTTATAACTAGATTGGTTGTTTAGAACTTTATAAAATGTTAGGCTTGATACCGATGTGTTAGTTTGCATGGCACTTAGAGTTTCCAAGTTTGATTTAGGTCTTGGGGGTCTCAATCTCGTGATCCTAGCCCTGCTTTTGATAGGCTACCTTTATTCCCGGAATCAGCATAGTTTTCTTCTGGATGTGATGTGTTTTGCTATGGCTTACATTATGTGATAATCCATGATTGAAATGTTAATTTTGAAATAATATTGTAAGCCTAGAAAATTGCTACACATACAAATTGTATTATTTATAGGTTATAACAATATGTCTTTTATTCTGTCTATAATTCGTTCAAGACTAGTGCGCTGATTAATTTTACAGTCCCAAATTTCGGCAATTTCGCGCTTTATAAACACGCTGTACATGAACAGAAGTTTCGTTGTTTGAATTCCGTTGTAGTTTACTGATGCAACTGATTGAGCAGTTGATTGAATGAATGAATGAAAACAGTGCTTTCAATAAAGCACTTCAATAACAAAATATTTTCCTTACAAACCTAGGCTTCTCGCAGGAAGCCACAATAACTTACACTAAAACCGTAATGGTTCATAGAACCGTCTACGTGGTTGGCATACACCTTTTTTTTACAGTACACTTTTAATTTAAAACTAAATTAAATTCTGGACTAAAATCAAAAGTAAAAAGTCTGAAATCAAAATGTTTAATTAAAGCAAATGAAACTAAAAAATAAAATAGCTGGCTCACAACCCAGTATATGTTACAGATACATACACACACACATACACACATACATACACATACATATATTAAAACAAATACCCCCACCCTAAAAAAAATCTTGTCTTAAAGTCAGTGAATTTTACCTTGAATCTAATTTTGGAGTAGGCCTATGACAATTTCAAATAATTTTTATACGTTAAATTCGATTATCAATCCCCACCTAAAATACCAAGCTTCTTTTAAATAGGTACCCACCCAACGCGTGCCAATCCCTCCCATTCATAAAACTAAAAAAGTCTTCCCACTCCAATACGTGTTTAGAAAAATACTTCTTTCTTATATGAGACAAAACCGGGCATCTACCTACAAAATGGAAAATGTTTTCGTCATCTTGAAAATTACAAAGGATCAATGGAAATTTTGTTCTAAAATCCAAGGTTTATAATTCAGATGTATTCCCTCAGCTCTTGCCTTGAAAATCCAACGTTGTAAATTCATAATAATATTATCTGAAAGATAAGACCGATGGCAGAGATTTAAGTCAAGTGATCTATAAATGTGGTGATAACGACATTCCAGCGCGGCTTGATTCCAGGCCTGCTTGGTCGCCGTCCTAACTGACTCTACAACTCTTATCAGCTGATTGTGCATTGATCCTAAACATTCAATATTAAAGTCTATGTTAATACCATGCATTTGACCTAAATTCCTCCATTCTCTAGCCCAGGCTACATTTTTAAAAAAAACTTGCTTGGCAAAAAATTTTGTAAGTCTGTTCGCTGGGAGCGACAAAGATTGTATTAAATAACTGACATTTGACATTAAGGTATAACAATACATATTTTCTATTCCTGTCTCTAAATGCAAAATATAATTTGGCACATTCTTTGGAAGGCAAAATATTTTCTTAATAAATAATTTCAAAATTCCCTCAACCTGTTGACTCTCTTTAAAACCCCAAACTTGGCTTCCGTAACACATTATTGATCTTATCAATGAATTAAAAGCGACAGTTATAAACAGTTTTTCTCTTCGCGCTTCAGTTTGTAGACACACAATGTTTGTTAGATTACAAATATTGTCCACCATTGAGTAACCTTTCTGAAACCCTGCTCGACACTCAGTCAGAGTTTGCCGTTCATTGACCCAACTATTTATTCTATTAAAAACAATACCTGCGTATATTTTTGCTACACAATCAATAAAAGAAAGTCCTCTATAATTCTGAACATTATTTAAATCGCCCTTTTTATGCAGTGGAAATATAATAGATTTTTTTGAAACTGTTTGGAACACTTTTTGAGCTAAACATTAAGTAATAAACTTTACACAATTTTTGTAAAAAAGTATCTGAACTGTTTTTATAAAATTCGTACGGAATACCATCGCTTCCGGGTGCTTTGCATTTTTTTGCCGTTTTCAGAACTGCTTTAATTTCACACACATTTATATCGCTATCTAGATAAGGATCTTCAATGTACGGTTCAGCATAAACTACGCTCGATATACATAATTTTGGATTCAACAAATTCCGGAAATGCCTCTCCCATTCATCAGCTCCAATTGAACCTACTACTACGTACGGCTTCCGTAACACATTATTGATCTTATCAATGTATTAAAAGCGAAAACCTTGGAGCTCAACGGGACATTTCCATTGTTAAAAAAATCTCTCCACAACGAATTCATTGCAAATTTTGCAGCTACCTACAGATTTTTCTCGCAAATGACTTTCCCACGACAGTTTTGTAGTTAATAATATCCCCAAATACTTATATTGATTTACCACCTCAATTCGTTTTCCTTTATAAAACCACTTGTCTCTGTCACGTAACCTCCCTCCTTTTCTGAATACCATAATTTTAGATTTATTTAAATTCACTCTTAGGTTCCAAAGATCACAATAACGCTCTAGATTTGCGATCATTTTTTGGAGGGCTGTTGCGGTAGGAGCTAACAATACAAGGTCATCTGCATACAACAATTAATAAAACAATAACTTAACAGTAACTTCGTCCCGTCCTTCTCTGTTATCAGCTCGGTGGTCAGCTGTTCCAGATGAGATAACAGTGTTGAAGAGGGAGTGCGACTTGAATTGTAGTTTATCATTGAGGAGTTATCTCATCTGGAACAGCTGACCACCGAGCTGATAACAGAGAAGGACGGGACGAAGTTACTTAACCCGTGTCCAGTCTACCTACAACCGCTGCCGTGCCGTGTCATGATAGCGCTATCGTGTTATTACGTGTTTAAATGTTTCGTGTTCCGTGTTTTGTTCTATGTGTAATTATTTGATGTTTTTGACAAAAAGCTCCGACGATGTTGCATTGCAACGGCACATGTAAGCTTTGAACAACATTAGTTGAAAAAGACACAATTTTGGACTACTGACGGAGGTAAGCCTATATAAGTCATTATTCGTAGTCCAGGGGCTATCAGAATGAATAATACCATTATTATTGTTGCTGTATGGTCCAGAGGCTACCCATCATGAAACAGTTCTTGCCAGGAGTACAGCGGTCTACTGAGTAAGCACTGGCGTAGCGTTGATTTGAATCGCTTTTTGTCAAGAGCACAAACATGTGCTTTTGTCAGCAGCATATTGAAAAGCTGAATAACAAGTGATGGGTAGGAGTTTAGAGTGTGACTAAGTGAGCAGCGGGGCAGGTTTAGGTCACACGCTCTACACATCCCGTAATCATGCTGCATGCTCCTAGTCGTGAAGGATGGCTCGTTTTCATTTAGGAGAGCTT